TTCATGAGTCACCCTGGGGCTCTGGACCGCAGGCTGTTCCAGCTCAGATGAACAAGCCAGCGTGCAGCAAAGCTGCTCAGACACTCTCCGAAGCAAGAACCCGAGATTCTTTGTCGTAATCAGGTGCGTAAGGAAACCTGTTGGGGTTAGTACAAAGTGTCTCTCTCTTTAAGCAGCTCGAAGTTATACAGACATTTAACCAAGTCTCCTACTTCCTGTCAAAACATCCCAACCAAGTAACCAGCCGAGCACAGGTAGGTGGTGAGTGACAGATATTTGTGCAAAAATTAGATGTGGTCTCGTGAAGTCCCCACAGCCCAGGAACATTCCACTCAATCTAGTGAGCTCCATGCTCACTATGTGCTGGTCTCGCACCGCGTCCCGGGGGAAGCGGATGTAACTCCACAGAGGCTGACTTGAGAGACATGATCCAGTAAGAGGCTGGACTGCTTGATCCAGAACCCCGTAGAAATACATTGGTCCTGTCAGCAGGTCTGAGATAGATGTTTAGCCAAGTGACAAGCTCCAGTATGGCCTTAGGATTCACCAAAGTCACCCCTACTCATGTGATGTGCGAGGCATACAGATTTGCCTTTAAGTGGCAACAAGGATATCTGCACTCCAGATCTTGGTGGAGAATTTAGTCTCTCTGCTGCCTAACTCTTATCAAATTTGGAAACAAATGGTGTCTATGGATGACTTTCCTGAAGTACACACAGCCCAGCGATGCCTTTATAAGCATTTCCAGAGTGGCATATTAAACACAACACTACTCTACAAAACGTGGTACGTATCCTTTAAAAAAGTTCCTTGATCAAATTAGTTTAGGACAAAGTCTGAAAAAGTTACCCAAGATTTTTACTTAACTGCAGAACGGCACACAAGTGTGTGTGTGTGTGTGTGTGGTGTGTGTATATGTGTATGTGTGTGGTGTGTGTGTATGTGTGTGGTGTGTATGTGTGTGGTGTGTGTATATGTGTATGTGTGTGGTGTGTATGTGTGTGGAGGTGTGTATGTGTGTGGTGTGTGTGTGGTGCGTGTATTATGTGTGGTGTGTGGTGTATGTGTGTGGTGTGTCTGTGTGTGGTGTGTGTATGTGTGTGTGGTGTGCATATGTGCATTTGTGGTGTGTGTATGTGTATGGGTGGTGTGTGTATGTGTGTGGTGTGTATGTGTATGTGTGTGGTGTGTGTGTGGTGTGTGTGTACGTGCGGTATGTATGTGTGTTGTGTGAGGTGTGTGTGGTATCTGTGTATGTGTGTTGTGTGGTGTGTATGTATGTGTGTGTGGTGTGTTTATGTATATGTGTGTGGGGTATATATGTGTGGTGTGTGTATGTATATGTGTGTGTGTACGGTGTGTGCCGTGTGTGTGTTGTGTGTGTGGCGGGGGTACATGTACCCCTCAGGGCAGGGATCTGCTACGGTCTGAAAGTTTGTGTCTCTCCAAAATTCATACATTGAACTCTAATCCCCAACGTGGAGGTATTAAGAAGCGGGGCTTGTGAGTGGTGACTAGGTCATGAAGTCCTCACGAATAGAATTCGTGCCCTTATAAAAGAGGTCTGAGCTGGGCACATTGGTTCATGCCTGTAAGCCCAAGGACACAGGAGGCTGAGGTAGGACTGCTTGAGGCCAGGAGTTCAAGACCAGCCTGGACAACATAGCGACACTCCCTCATCCATAAAAACAAATAAACAAATAACCAGCCGGGTGGTGTGTGCACCTGCAGTCCCAGCTACTTGAGAGGCTGAGGCAGGAGGATGGCGCCAGTCCAAGGGTTTGAGGTTACAGTGAGCTATGATTGCACCACTGCACTCTAGCCTGGGCAACAGAGCAAGACCCTATTCCTGAAAAAATAAAAAATAAAAATAAAGAGGCCCGAGGGAGCTTGTGTGCCCCCTCTGTCATGTGAAGACACCAAGAAGCAGCCATCTCTGAGGAGCAGACTCTCACCAGACAGCGGATCTGCTAGTGCCTTCATTTTAGACGTCTGCAGACTTCCTGATCCCCAGAACTGTGAGCAGTAAACACGACTGTTTATAAATTACCTAGCCTAAGGTGTTCTGTTATAGCAGCCTGAGTAGACTAAGACAGATCTTAGTCTCTTTTCTTCATTAATGTACTCCCACGTTCCTAGAATGGTGGCTGGCACATCAATACTCTTTGAATGAATAAATGAATCTTACTGAAAATCTTTACATTCAATCAATACTGATAAAATACATTGAAGTCAAGGAGTAATATGCATTAACAAAATGCAACAGTTCATGAAAATGTGCAACTATGCACACCAAACTCTTAACCATTCAGTCACTTAGAAAGATAATGCACATGTTGAAAAACAACAGCAAAAACAGCCATGAAGCTACAACAGGACTCCTTCAACAAATGCAGCATTTAGTGAGAATTTATGGAACTGAGCAAACCTGAGCAATCATAAGCCTGCAGCCACCACGACAAATACAGCAACATGGAGTGGGGAGGCCCAAACATAGCACAGAGCTTTGGATATGCTAGTTTTATGATGAGTTTCCAAAGAGCGGCTTTAGGATACACTACTTGCCAAATACATATAGTTTCAGCGGTAGCCGGGGATCCATTTTCTTACGGGGTAAAACTGCTCCGACTCCAGCAGATTCCATAGCTTGTGAAAGTCAGAAATCTTCCTGCAGTTTCTGCTAATGCTCAGAAGTGAAAGCTTCATGGTTCAGTATCTCTTCTCATTTGCACAGGCACAGAGCTCAGGCTCCTCACCCACTCCGTGCAGCATTCGATCTGTTCAAAATCTTGGATTTCACAAGGAAGAGCCACATTGCCCAGCCTTCCACTGCCTCCATAGTCCCACCCACGTCCCCTGCTCCCTCTCTCTACTTCTCCTGAAGCTTTGGATTTGGTGGCTCCAAAATCTTCACCGTTTCTTACAAGAGTGACTTCCCCTTTCACTCAGACATAAAGGAGGAAGTCTCAGATTCTACCCCTAAACTTGCAAGCCCGATCTACTTTTGTGAACCCCCTTTGTTTTTGGGTGGCCCATCATTCATTCTCTCTCCGTTGGGTTATAGCTGAGCTTGGGAGAATGACCTTTCGCTCAATATGTGCATCTTGGCACACCTGTTAATTCAAGTTTCCTGCTCTCCTGTGGCTAAGTGCCAGGCCACTCAGACTTTGCTGAGCTGTTGAACCTTGAGGGGATTTATCTGATAACAGTGGGGACAGGGAAAAGGAACAGATGAAATTCTTTTATTTTGGTGGCTATGGGGTCATCAGGATTTTTTTTTTTTTTTTTGGTAGTGAGACCCCAGGAGTTTTCAGGTTCCTGTTCATTCTGAGACTGTTTCTTCAGCCTGCTTCTTGATTCCATGACCTCACTATAGCCTTTCCAAAAACTCTCTTCTGCAAATGTGAGTCAGTTTATTTCTGTTGCTTAAAACCCAGGAACCTGACTCTCTGCCCCACCAGTAGAGCAAAGGCCTTTCTAATGAGAAGAGTCAGGGTCTACCAAAAAAGTTGTTTTGTTTTTAATGTGACATATCTATTAGCATCTCCCATGAATGTTAAGTTTAGTTTGGGAAATGCCCTAGATGTTCTGGATTTCTGAATCTACTCAAAGTCTGTGGATTCCAGCCATATGGTTTGCATTAGTTTTCTATTGCTGTGCAACAAATTGCCTCAAACTCAGCAGCTTGAAACAATACCTTTTTGATGATCTCAAAGTTTCTGTAGGTCCGAAGTCCAGGCAATGGTATAACTGGGTTCTCTGTGCAAGGTCTCACGAGGCTGAAATCAAGATGTTTGCTGGCTGTGCTCTCATCCAGAGCTCAGGATCTTGCTCCAAGCTCATTCAGGCTGATGGCAGGATCCAAGTCCTCAGGATTGTAGGACTGAGGTCCCTGTTGCCTCATCAGCTGTCACCTGAAGGTCTCTCTCAGCTCCTAGAGGCTGCCCTCAGTTCCTGGCCATGTGGCTCTCTCACAGCATGGCAGCATCCTTCTTCAAGGCTAGCAGAGACTCTCCTTGAACTCTAGATCTTCTTTAATGGGCTGATTAGGTCAGAACACCCAGGATCATCTCCTTTTGATTACTTAAAGCCACTGATGAGGGACTTCATTACGTCAGGACTTCACTTTGTATATCCCATAATCTAATCGGAGTGACAGCCAACACTGTCCTGCCCACACCCAAAGGGGAAGAGATTGTGCAGGAGGTGTACACCAGGGGGTGTGAATCTCAGAATTCTGCCCAGCACATGATCTTGTTCCCAGTCCTCCGGGGAGCAGAACTACCTCTTAACTAGTCCCTTGGCTTATATTTTTAAAGTGTATATGATACCTCATATAGGGCTATTGTTAGGGTTACTGTCTCTGTTCACACGATGCCCCACATAAAGAATATATATTCTTGAAATTAAGAACCACGACCCATTAAACTTCGCTGAGAGACTGGTAGGTTTTGCCCTGTGGTCCATAGGAATCACATGAGTGAACCTGATTCTCTTTTCACTGTAGCTAGTGGGAAGCTTAGAAACAAATATGTGGCTAATTCTAAGTAACTGAGTGAAGTTTATGAGTACTTGTATCTTACAATACCTGTGTTTCATACCCCACAAGCCCCTGCCCAGCCTCACTCTTTCATTTTAATTCAAAACTCTTCTGGCACTGACTACTATTTTAAGGTAGATAGTCTTATAAGTAGCCTCTAATGTGTTGTATAAGGAAATAGAGTATACATAAAAATGAAATAAAATAATAATAATAGCTAATCTCAACAGAGCCATTATTATGACCACCTAGTATAAGCATTACCACATTTGATCTTTACAACCACTCTAGGAAATAAGATACTTTAATATCCTTATTTAATAGATGAGGAAACAGATGAGGCCTAGAGAAGAGAAGAGATAGTATCAGAACAACCATTCAAGTCCAAGCATGCCTGACCACAGAGCCTAGGCTGTTAACCATCACACTCTATTGATTTAAATACATTTACATTTTAAAGGGAGGAAAGAGTAAGGATAGTTGGCTGCCTATGAAACTCTCCAGATTGAAAGAGACCATTACACATATTGTAAAGACCAGAGGAATTGTTTTCTGCACACCTTGCCTAGGGTAAGTACTCTTCTACAACCTAAAACAAAGTGTAGAATTTGATAAGAGCTAAGCCCTGCTTGAAAGTAGAAAAGGGGCTTTCAGAAATAGAAGAAGGGCTTGGAAACAAGTAAGTAAGCATTTTCCTTGGTGAGTTATAAACAGGTATTAGAGAATATCTGACACCAAGACACAAGCACGATGTGACAGTTTCCATATAGAAGACTCTTGAATATTCACCGTGGAACTGAGGAGTAAAGTATGTTCTTTCTAAAACAGAGTATGAAAAACTAGAGTTGATAAGACACATTCTGAAGGCACATCGCTGATGCCAGCCCACATTCTTTAACCCTTACTCCAAAGGATATTATTTATACAATACATATAATATAGTTATTGGAAAATAAATGTTTATTATAGTAAAAATAAATACAATATTTAAAAAATAAATCAGCTAATAATTATTGCCAGAGGTTTGCATCCATATCAATATCAATGTGATGTTTATGAAAACATAAACACTGCTGACTAGTTTACATACTTACCTGGGACCATTAATAGCCTTGACTGGGGACAGCCAGGACTTAGGTTTCATGCCTACGACTCACTAGGATTCACTGTGACTCACGACGCCACGTAGTGGCAGCTTCGACAATTGCAAGTCCATTAACAGAAGCAAGACCCAGGGTGCTTACTTTATACCTAACACCTATAAAGTTTCAGCCAGAACGATGTAGCTAGGTTTTATCTTGAAGTCTATTTCAGAGCTAATATGAAGGTAAGAACCCAGGCATTCTGACCCTTTGAGAGAGTGAGAGCAAGAGTGAGAGTGAGAGTGAGAGAGAGAGAGAGAGAGAGAGAGAGAGAGCGAGCGAAAGAGAGAGAAAGAGAGAGAGAGAGAGAGAAGGGGGGAGAGAGAGAGAGAAGGAGAGAGAAAAAGAGACTTAGAGTTTAGTGGAAGGCGCATCTTTGCTGCAACTTTTCAAGTTAGTAGAATATTATCACCAACACAAAATGCCCCTTGGGGGACTATGTTCTATAAATTCAAATTTTATTAGTAGTCCTTTGAAGTGCATAAAAACTGACAGGAGAACTTAAGTTGCTTCCACTAATTATAAAGCAAATGAGTGGTAAAGGGACTAAGACCCATTGTGCATGCCCCTGAGCTTTCCATAGTACTCCATCAATGTCTTATAGACAGCTCTGTGTGATGGAGTGGCAATGCCCTATCAGAATGTGAGAAAGCAGCCAAGAGGGCAGCTGATTTCCCTTGCACACAAGGACATATGTGAGGTTGTCCTACTCTTTGCACTGAATTTAACTTCATGTTTCCAGAGGCCACATTTCCCATTGACATGCCTTTTATTTCATAAGCACCTTCATCCAGGCTATAGACACCCTCACGCCCAGACTGCCACTCTTCATAAATTTTCAAAATCCTGCTGCGATGGTAATTCAAGTCTAGTTTTGCAGTAGTTCTCCCTCAACACCAAAGCTTACATATTTTTAAATAAAAAAGTCCCCCTTGGCTCGCAGAGAATCATCCAACAACATTCCTTACTCTGCTTTTTTTTTTTTTTACTTTTTCTTTTTTCTTGGTGTTTCACTTTTCCACTCTTTTCAATTGCTTGAAAAACTCTTAAGCACACCGCAACCAATATTTGGGTCACAGCTAGCTTTAATGATGTGCTTTCGAAATGGTGGTTTTAATCCTGGATGAAATTTTTGTTGTTGTTTTCCTTTTGCAGTGATAGCCCACAGGCATTTCTGCCTGGGATCGGGATCATAATGAGGAGAACAGGGCACCCCAGAATTCCTAAGGGCCTCCTTATTAACACCCCAGCCTTGCGATCCTCAGAACATATGTCCTGGCTTTCCTCTAGATGGCACTGTGGAGCAGAAGCGACTGTCTCAGGGACCTGCATCTTCCTCTATCAGCCATTACCCACTTCTCTGCAGGTGAAACCAGACCCAAGTGCACAGATTTGAAGAGGAAAACAAAGTCTCCTGGGAACTCCTTGCAGCCTGGGGGGAATGTGGACGCAGTGGATGTTCTGTCTGGGTAGCAGTGTGGCGGGCTAGGAATGGGCTGGCCATGTACGCCTGAACCTGCGGTGTGCTTCTGATGGATTAGCGACTGGTGAGAAGACCCCATCACAGTGGGGCACAGTTAGTAAAAGTTCTGGATTTAGTTAGCCCAGATATCAAAGTCCCATCAGAATATGGTTGCCAAAAAATAAAAATACAGGATACCAGTTAAATTTGGATTTTGGATAAATAGCAAACGCTTTTTTAGTGTAAGGATGCCCCACGTATTTGAAGAGAACTTACACTGAAGTCTCTTCTCAATTTACTGTACTGTTTTCCTAGAGTAAAGATACTAAAAGTATCTGTGCACTTTTGTATCAGAGATTGTTTATCAATATCGAGGGCTTTTCTCTGGCTTTCAAAGCAAATTTGGCATTAGCAGGGCCACATCCTGAGGGGACACAGCAGCAATCAGTGTCCCTTTATTCCTGAACAGTATCTCCACTGTGCTTTCCAGACTTCCACAAAGTCCACCTCTCTGCAGAACCTAAGCTCCTTTTATCACAAGCTGGAGGGGAGGAGTTGCCCTCTTCTCCCCCTTACCCAAGACTCTAGCCCCACCTCCTCATGGCACTCTGTCACCAACAACAGGTCCTCCCCACTGTCATCACCCTCGGTCCCTCACTCATGATAAAAAAAATAAGGGACGTACACGACAATGTGAATGTACTTCATGCCACTGAATTGTACACTTTAAAATGGCTAAAGTGGCCGGGCGTGGTGGCACGCACCTGTAACCCCAGTTACTCAGGAGACTGAGGCACAAGAATCACTTGAACCCGGGAGGTGGAGGCAGCAGTGAGCTGTGATCATGCCACTGCCCTCCAGCCTTGGTGACAGAGTGAGATCCAGTCTCAGGAAAAAAAAAAAAAAAAGAAAAAAGGAAAAAAGAAAAAAGGCTAAAATGGCAAATTTTATGTTAGGTATATTTTACCACAATGAAACATACGGAGCAGGGGGATTGTCTTACTGTAAGACCGCCTGCAGCTCAGCCCAAGCCCGGCCTGCCCTCATCTCAAAGTCTTCTGCAATGTCCTCCTGCCTGAGGAATCCAGGCAAAATGACGCCTGGCCTCGCCTCCTGTCTGCTTCCATGTGTTCCTTCGTGAGCTGTGTGCAGACCCAGGATGTCTCTCTTTGCAACTTCCTCCCCCACATCCGGCCCCAGGCACCGCCTCTCGCCTCAGGAGACCCCACTGCTCTGAGGCCCTCATCTCCAAGGTCCTACCCGCAAGCTCTTTCCTGAGCTCTCGTCTGTCAGTCCCACTTGCAGGGGAGGCTGGGCCCCTAATTTCTGCTATTTATATTAGCAATGCCTGATCTCTCGACAATTTCATTTTTTATTTTCCAAATGTCAAATGAGCTTCTCAGTAGCCAAGCATAATAATGTGTCCTTATTTGACCCCAAACTCCCCTGACTTCCAGGTACAAAGCTTTCTCACAGCCCATGGGACCTAAAAAGTGCCTTTTATCCTCCTGGCATCTCTCGCCCATCATCTGCCAGGCATTCTGTGCCCTGCCCATCCTGCTACCCCACAGTAGCCAGACAGAGGAGACCAGTTTGTGTCCTGGTGCGGGCACCAATGGGTCTCGTGGATCCCCTATAGCTCCATGCACTTCTCAGGGACAAGTTCATTTCCTTCTCTGATTTGGTTTTCCTGTTCTTTTTCTCCCATCCTCCAAACCTCCCATCAGAAAAATTCTTCCAAACTCTAGTGAGCCGAATCGTGTCTCCGTCAAATTATGTCCTCCTGGAACCTCAGAATTGTTGGAAAGATGGTCTTCACTGATGTCATTGAAGTAAGGATCGAGATGAGGTCACACTGGATTAGGGTGGACCCTAAATCTGATGAGAGTGTCTATAAGACACAGAAGAGGACAGAGGGAGACACAGGGCAGAGGCCGATATGAGGATGGAAGCAGAGACTGCAGTATTGTGTCTGCGAGTCGAGGAATGCCAAGGGTTGCTGGCGACCAGCAGGGCTGGGAGAGAGGCACGGGAAAGATTCTTCCTCGGAGGCTCCAGAGGGAATCAGCCCTTCCGACACCTTGATTTCTGACTGCTGGCCTCCTGACCTCCGAGCCACCCAGTTTGTTAAGACAGCTCCAGGAAATTAGTACACAAACCAATTTGCAAAACTCTGGACAGACGGGGACCAATGACCCAGCCTTGGCTGGGAGGGTGTCTGCAAGCGACTGTGATGGACTGGAGTCCCTACAGGTCCTCAGGGAGCTCCTAGGAGAGAAAGGGGTCTGGGGACGAGGACACAGGAAGGAAAGGGAAAGAAATGAAGGGACCAAAAACCATCTTTAGCCAGACCTGCCCCCTGACTACGCCTAGGCTATGGGGGATGGAAAGGGTATGCCCAAGAATGAAAAGAACGAAGTGCATTATCACCAGCACAGACTGTGGGGCGTGGACGGAAGAGCGGGGGCCAGGTCCAGTGTCGCTTTGTTTTTTTGTAAATTGGATTTATAGCACCTCTCCCTTACAGGTCTCACCACAAAACCACACCAAATCAACCCAGTGGGATCACAGACGTCAAGGGCTCAGAAAATAAGGTATAAAGTTAATTTGTGAACCCTAAAGCTATTCTCTAACTCAATTTATCTAAGGGAGACAGTTCCATTAGCTGTGATAAGTGGCAGATATCCAGCCTTCACTTGTGCCAATCAGTCACTGAACGATGGGCCTTTATGAGTCCCAGGTGGGTCCCCAGCAGGCTCTCACCAGGCCCCCACGGAGGGCTGCAGGGGGTGGCATCCGCACTGTGAGTGCTGCAAAACTTGGCTGTCCAAAGTGAACCCCTCACCAGCCACAGCGCACCAGCACGGGAGCAAGGGAGTTTGCTAACAATGCAGAATCTCAGCCCCCACCAGATAATGACTCCAAAGCTGCGTCTTAGCAAGATCCCAGGTAGTTCATTTGCATGGTAACATCGAGAAGCTCTGGAATAAAACATGGGCTTGGCCTCGAAGGTGATTCTCACAACATCCCTCTGGAACAAAATTATTATATTCTAAAAAGTAAAAAACGGGGCTC